GGACCACGCAAGTGCAGCTGACTTGGCAATGGATGATGTGGTCATCATCGCCGACAGCAACCTACCCCCAGGGAGTTGGATTTGTGGCAGAGTCGTCGCCACTCACCCCGGCAAGGATGGTCGTGTACGTGTTGTGGATGTAAAGACTCAGACGGGTACATACCGCAGGCCAGTAGCTCGGTTGTGTAAGCTGGACGTACACAAGCAGGTATGAACTCTCGTGTGGCGGCGGACACTGGTGACTTGTTTATGGTTTTTCGCAAAAGCCAATGCTTAGACTTCCCGCTTTTTCCTAGAATGTCTGTTATGTTTTTTTTTTAATTGGTAAGTCTCCCGGGTTGGCTTATCGGGTTGCCTTACCGGGTTGCCTTACCGGGTTGCCTTACCGGGTTGCCTTACCGGGTTGCCTTACCCGGTTGCCTTACCGGGTTGCCTTACCGGGTTGGCTTACCAGGTTGCCTTACCGGGTTGCCTTACCGGGTTGCCTTACCGGGTTGCCTTATCGGGTTGCCTTACCAGGTTGGCTTACCAGGTTGGCTTACCGGGTTGCCTTACCGGGTTGGCTTACCAGGGGGAGAATGTTACATCCATGGTGTTACAGACACTTGCACGTGAATTCAAAATTATTGTATTTGCTCGTTCGAATTAATTTGTATTTTGTTTCACTCACTTGTCACTTTTCCCGAGTTGATCACGTACCTGCGTGCTCCAATCTGCTGCAGTTAGAGGCAGCTACTCTACATGCAGTCGAGTCGATTCTATTGTGTATCTGCATGTCTCTCTCTCTCAGTTATTTTGTTTTTGTTTGTATTTTATACTAGTTTCGGTACGCTACCGCTCTATCTGCATCATGCGATGTTGTCGCTTCTTAGGGCGCCGTGCCTGCATCTTTGGGGCACAGTTCCGGAAACAGCACTCAACAGAGGATGCTGTTGTGATGGCATCAGAGGCCTTTGCCAATGCCAAAGACTCCGGACTCTCAACTTGCGCCGCCTTTGTTGACATGTCGAAGGCATTCGACAAGGTTCAACATGGCACCCTCATCCGCGACCTCTTCAGTATTGGTGTTGGTGGAAGTGCGCTGAATTGGCTGGCAGACTACTTAAGTGACCGGCAGCAAAGAGTTGTCATTGGGAACCAGCACAGCAAGGTATTCCAGCCCAGCAGTGGTGTGCCCCAGGGTTCCGTACTTGGTCCTCTGCTGTTTGTCCTCTATGTCCGTGGTGTGGCAGCTGAAGTGCAACCGTATGGTGTGCGGACAGTTCAGTTCGCAGATGACATCATGCTCTATATTAGTAGCAGGGACAAACATCAGCTGGAACGCAATATGTCTTCTGCAGTTACACACCTGGCCAGATGGCTTGCCAGCAGGAACCTGGTACTAAACGAGAGTAAAACCCAGATTTTGTTCATCCCTGCCCATCGTTCTGTGAATCCTCGTGTCAGCGTTACGTGCTCTGGGGTTCAACTGGCACAAGTAGAATCCGCAAAGTATCTTGGTGTCCACATGGACCAAGATCTAAAGTGGACCACAATGGTCAACCAGATCGCCAAGCGAGCTGCCTGTAAAATAGCTGTCCTGTTTAGAAACAGGCGCTGCATGCCCCTCCCGTGCCGCATCACATACCTGAAGTCCCTGATCCTTCCTGACTTCCTGTATGCTAGCAACTGTTTCTCTGCTGGCCTCACCTCACATCAGCTCGAGCGCCTAGAGCGGCTACTCAAGCGCGCAGTCCGCTGTGTTTACAACGCTCCATTTGCATCACCATCTGCGCCGCTGTATTGCCAATTGCGATTGCACTCGCTAGAAGTTATGTACTGCCACAAGCTGCTTGGCTACACTTGGCGCTGCCTTCAGGGTAAATGCAGCACATTGCTTACCGATATGTTCAGTCCTCTTAATGCCGGCCGTGCTACACGTAGTCAGGGAAATCGAGCACTTAAATTTCCAGTCACTAAGACATCCGCTGGCACACATTCTGCCTCATTCCAATGTGTATCACTGTGGAACAGGCTCCAGCCCGACATCAGGAAAATCCCACAGTACCACCGTTTCATGCGATCCCTCCCAGCACATGCTGCTTTTCAGTAATGCCACTGCCCGCTGTACTATTATTTCCTTTACTGGCCTAACTGGCTTTAACAAAGTAATACTTTACTACCCACTCTACTCAGTGTCATTACCTTCATTGGCCTTTTATAATTTATTCTCCTTTTTAGTCGATATCATGTGAGCCGAGCCAAGCAAAAAGGTGGCTTAGGCATAATTTTTGGAAATTTCTTTTTTCATGCCAAAGTGATGTCTACCTATCCAACTTCCATCAGGGAAAATTTGGTGCCCATCTGAAATGTATATGTGCCATAAATACGTATACATTGCGCACATGTCACAGCATACCTGGTATCAATGAAACTAAGGATTTGAAGACCTGCCCAAACTCCAAAAACCATGGGACATCAAGTGGAGATAAAGCTTAGCCGGTGTGGAAGCAATGCAAGAAGAACGAGCACTTGTGTTCTAATTAGAAGATCCAAAAAAGAATGAATAATTGATCTATGTATGTCATGTCATTTATTCACGCAACACGAATTTTCATATCCTTCAATGATGTTGTGAGCCTGTGACTAACTACATTTTCGCTGGGCTGGGAACCCATGGCATCTTACCAAGACAGTCCGTCATACTCTCTCCAATCACCTATGCCAGCATGAATTGATCCTTTCATGTAGCTTGTAGTGTTGTGCCAGAGATCAAGCTCCATAGGTCCCTTGCACGTAGGTCCAGCAGACTGCACATCACTAAAAAGCGGCACTGATTCTTTGTCCGCCCTAGTCCATGTCATTCTCCTTCCCTGGTGTAGGTAGTGGTAGAAGGCACCACGGGACGATATGCTAGCAGGTAGAGTCAATGCGTCGCTTCGTTGTGTGGCACCAGTGGCCTTGAAATGAGGAAATTTTGGAATACAGTACGCCACGTCATGAATATTTCAAGGTGCCGAAATAAAGTGAAACATCGCAGCAAGAGCCAACTCACTAGGCAGCTTGTCAGAATGATAGTCGGACGGCTTGTAGACGTCTCCCCATAGCTATACTAGCCGCTCTAGTCGTGGCCACGATGAGAAACACGGCCACTATGAATGAGCGAATCTTCCTCGTCAAGTAGGGTTGGGCGCACACGGAGACAGAATGTCATCCTGCTCACCTCCACATTCTCCAGAACGCTCCATTACGATCTCTGGCAGCGGCAAGAAATCCCCACACCGATGAAAGAGGGAACACTGAAGAAGTGTTGCTCAAAAATAAAAAGCCCTCTTTCTTCTTGGAAACTATTTTACTTGAAAGGGTGCTCGAAAGTGAATATTTTCGCGACTGCGCTCGAGTAGAATTTTGCCGACTGTAACGTTTTGGTGATTTTCTCGATTTGTTGGCAAAACGCTAAGCCACTTTTTAGCTTGGCGCGGCTCATGTAATTAGGCAAATTTGCCTGTTTGTTCTTCGACTCTAAATAAACAAACAAACAAAAAGGACAAACTCAGTGACCTGCACCACCGCGACTGGATACGCAACTTTTCACCGTACCTGTGGCTTACCATGCCGTCAGAAATGACGTACTGCACGAATTACGCTCCCATAGGAACCATCCCGAGTTGCACACTCTGGTTTATGTACTCTTGGCGACAGTTATCGCCATTTTGGCCAAGACCGAAGGTTGTGAGTTCGAACCCCACTTTCGGGAACCTTGTTTTCTTTGTTTCTTTTCCAAATCAAGGTTTGTGGGTTCGACCCCCCTTTTGGCGACCTTTTTTTCTTTTTTCTTTCCCAAATCAAGGTTTGTGGTTTGAATCCCAATATGGGCAATTTTCTTTTTCTTTCAATTACGTTGATACTTATGCAGTACATTAATTTTAATAGTAGTGTTTATTGTCTCAACGAATATGGGGACACCCTGTGTTTTATTTGGCAAACCTGTTCCTTTCCATGAAAGGATCCCATACACCCATGTTCATAAAAATATTGCGTTGGAAATCATGTGAGAAATTACTTTCTTTTCTCCTTTTTCAAGGAAAAGCGCAGCTTTGCATTTTGCAATTTTTGGTGGGGTGCTTAGTCCCAATGACATTTTCCTACTTTCTTTACAATCCAAACCGAGTCGGTTTGTATTTTCGAAAGTTTCAATGCAGTGCTGCAAAAGATTATAAAGATAATACTTATAGTAGAAAAAGTGCAACCACCCAGCAATGTCCGTAAAAATTAGGGGTGGAAAAGTGGCTGAAGTTGACAAAACGGATATGGGGACCACCCTTTTTTATTTCAGAATTTGACACCTAAGGTCCCTAAGACTCCAAGCAATCTGTTCACATCAAAATATCATGATTATGAAATTTTGCCTAAACTGTCCCAAACCTCCTTAACATGACCCTGGCGTGTACGCTTGCTTCGCTCACTGTACTTTTACGTTGATGCTCGTCATGTCTACAGGAAGTGTATTCCTTATGGATGGAGCCATCCAGAAAGCTCAAGATTGTGAAAATCGACCTACAAGTTATTAGTGGAGTTATTCAACTTATCGTTGGAAAAGAAGTATGTGCAAGAATGCCGATTTCGCATTCGACGAGATCAGTTCTAGTCCTTAAAGATTGGGAAGAGAAAAGGTGGTCACGATGGCCCACCTCATGGCATGAAGTTCCGCGCTGTGCGTGCCACCAATTTTGACAAGTCGACTGTTGAGAGCAACACAGTTTCTGTGCGGTTTCCAGAGAAAATGTGTTCGTTCAAAAGCTTCCCGGAGTCTTTTATCGTTGGGTCGAGAATTAAAAAAATGTTGGCTTTCAAAGACTTCTGCGGCAAAAATGGTATGTCCGTGAAGTGTCAGGACATTACGTCAGAACGATCATGATTTCTTATCACATGGCCTGGAACACCAAATGTGCACATGTGCTTCGTAGCAAGCCAGGGGGGGGGGGCACAATTCAATAGAGGGCTATATATTTTTTCACGTGCTCTTAGAGACTGGGGAACTCTTCAACATAGAGCACTATTCAAGAGAGGGGTCTAATCGCGAAAGCACGGTAATCCTTCTTTTCTGCTCCTACACAAACAAGCATGCACCAGGGATATCCTGACTTACCGAAGTGTTCGCTTCCAATGGGTGTCCAGCATTAAGTAGATATTCTAGTACGGACACATGACCTCCGGATGCTGCATAGTGGAGTGGTGTCCAACCATCCTGGAAGTAGCATCATTAATGAATACACACCATGTACACACAAACACACACAAACACATACACATACATACATACACATGCACACATACACGCATATGCGCGCACGTGCGTGTGCACACATGCACACAAGCGCGCGCATGCGCGCACACACACACACATGCACACACACACACTCACACACACACACACACTCACACACACAGAGACACACAAACACACACATGCATTTAGTTAGTAAAGGCAACACAGGCACTGGCATAGAGAGTTCCGCATCCTTATCGATGAAGAATTCATAGGGAATTGATGCCTTCTACAGTGAAACCTGTGACTAACAACCACCCCTTGGGGCCAGAGAAAGTGGTCTTTAGTGGCAGGTGGTCCTTAGTTACAGGTTTGCACCGCCCAACCATGTATGAATGTGAGACCTTCTGTGCCTGGCGAAGTGGTCTTTAGTACCAGGCTGGTGGCTAGTCACGGTGGTCTTTAGTACCAGGCTGGTCGCTAGTCACGGTGGTCTTTAGTACCAGGCTGGTCGCTAGTCACGGTTGTCTTTAGTACCAGGCTGGTCGCTAGTCACGGTGGTCTTTAGTACCAGGCTGGTCGCTAGTCACGGTGATCTTTAGTACCAGGCTGGTCGCTAGTCACGGTGGTCTTTAGTACCAGGCTGGTCGCTAGTCACGGTGGTCTTTAGTACCAGGCTGGTCGCTAGTCACGGTGATCTTTAGTACCAGGCTGGTCGCTAGTCATGGTGATCTTTAGTTACAGGTTTTACTGTACTTAGCATCTGAGATGGTTTGGTCTTCAATTAAGTTGGTTATGGGCTTTGAGCAGTGTCAGCTCCAGTGCCAGTTCAAGCAGGTCAGCGACCCTGTGGGACGGGGGGGGGCTTGGGGGGGGGGGGGGTTACTTGGACCCGTTTGAAAAAAGAATTATTAACGAAAGAGCTTGGAAGCTCAGGGCCCTACGCTATGCTTTTATGCCTAGTTCATCATGCATGTTATTAGAACTGATGGAAATGTGTTTTTCCATTGATTGGTTACATCATTGTAATGCAAAAACATTTCAATCGGTTTGAATATGAGTCACGCAAAAGTAATTGCAGAATTTATTGTATTATATAAACTTTCTCTTTGCATTCGAGGGTAATACGACACCGTCTACCACCTTGACCTAGGCGAAAAAACATAGAGATGTTATGTAGTTTTTCATTTCTCCAACTGAAGTATTTTTGAGAAGAAGTTTTGAGGCTGCCTGCAGTTTCATAGTATTTACACAATTGGGTGAACTCACCCATTCCACAATTCTCTGCAAATCTGAACCATTCCATTATAATACAACGTTTCGGCACTTGGCCATCGTCAGGTAATAACAATGAATACCGTGGAAGCCACACAAGAGCAGTATATAATTATGTAGGACTCAGTATAGAGTCCATGCCCTATATGATGTCCAGCACCCTATATAGAGTTCATTGGTCCAAAATCCACTATACAGAGTCCAGGAGTCCACTTAGTTTTGATCAGCTTCATCCTGCCGCGCAATCCCCTATAAGGAGTACACTTTTTCTACAAGTCCCCTATTCACGGTCCAGGAGTCCAGTTTATCCAGTCACGCCGTCCTGTGTGTTGTGCCCGAAAGAGAAGAAACACCTTTTCAGTTTTGCTTGCCTCGTGGCAGCGCATTCCTTTCTTCACTTCAGCCATGGCTGCCAGTTCTGCTGTGCAGTTGCTGACAGTAATCTGTCTCGAGGTAACCAAGGAGGATAAGGAAACGTTCAAAATCAAATCTGGAAAGCGAGCGTCTTGTGGTTCTCTGAAGACATTTCATCAGTGAGCGGGATGAAAACAGAAATTGCAGAACGAGAAAAGTTCAGCACAGTTCAAATCTGACGAGTCAGGTACACTGACACTCTCTTTCGTTCGACGCCACAAGGATCCCCTGTTTGGCTGGCCATTGTTGCCAGTAAGGCGTTTGAACGGTTTCATCAGAGCGAGGGATGAAAGCAGAAAGCGGAGAACGAGAAACGTTCAGCACAGTTCCAATCTGACGAGTCAGATACACTGACACTCTCTTTCGTTCGACGCCACAAGGATACCCCTGTTAGACTGGACAAGAGCTGCCTGTACCACCGTGTCAAAAGGCTGTCCAACTACATGGCAGGACGATGACTGAGGTAAGGAAGCTTTTACTCGTTTCGATTGGTCTGCTGTTCTGTTGTTATGCTTGAATTTTTTTCCATTTTCAAGGATCGTATCGCGTTTGTTTGATGTTGCTTGAATGAATGCCCTAAAAGTAATCAACCACTTCGTAATAGTCCTCAAGGACTGCAAGTACTGTCTTTGCATCAATCGTATACGATCGTCTAGCTATCATCAATAATTTTATTTCATGAGAAATGTATTTTTATCCCTGTGATAATTATGTGAACTCCACGACACTCTTCCTCTACTACTAGGCTCTAGTATGATGTCAAATGCAATGGAATCTACAACCGCAGTGCCAGTGTACTAGTAGTAGTAGGAGGAGGAGGATTTCTTGTATGCCAATGACAAGAAAAAGCTTCTCAAGCCAATACATGTACTCGTATTCCATGAAGTAACCGTTTTGATGTCACAAACATGACATTGTGTCAGTGAAACTGCCTCGTGACAACATATCATTGCATTTCCATCTTGGGGAAGACTGACTGACGGCAACGCTGTACAGATTGTTTAAAAAATCATATCATTTCAATTTAGTTGCAGTGAAGTGAAACACTGTTTATACTGAGCTTGTATACAAACTCCCATCTCTCCCCACACAACACTCCAGACTTGTATTTTGCATATAACAGGTACTTCGATGACGAGAATATAAACTGGTATATAAACTGGTATATAAACTGGTATATAAACTGGTGTATAAACTGGTATATAAACTCCTTTTTTTTAGGATTACACTAGTGACCTGCAGTCCGCCTTGATGGTTTTTCGACATGCACGACGGTCCCAACTTCAGGATCTCTTTCCCGTCAACGATGAAGAATACAACGTCTCCGAACGACGCAGGAGACCCAGTCCCAATGCGGAATCCTCACCTGATTTCAAAAAACAAAAAGAGAGCAACACCATCGACCCTGGCCAAAGCCAACCCCTTGCCCCGGCACAGGGCTCACGCTTCAGCCCACTGGTGTCACACAATACTCAATCTTAGCGCTGTCCTCCACACAATATCAGTGAGAACAATACTTTCAATTGCGGAAATACCCAAAAAAAAACGAAACAAATTACAAAAATAAATAAAAAATAATGGAAGTCGCGAATTTCATCAGCTCGAACGTCAGGTGTCTGTTCAACAAGATGGACGAGCTTAGCCACGTGGCAAAGTTGCAACAACCGTCAATAATCGCCATCCAGGAAACCTGGGCGGATCCATCGGACAGCGACGGGATGTACGCCATCAACGGCTACAAACTCATAAGAGCGGACCGGGACACCTTTGGTGGAGGAGTCGCCACATACATACCACACAGCTGCCAACACGAGACAATTACCATTCCCATGACTCAAGCGGAATGTATTTGGATTAGAATAACAATCGGCCAAGCCTCCCTTGTGGTAGGGAACATCTACCGTCCCCCGCGGTCCGACCCCGCAGAGTTCGTGATGGAACTGGAGAGAGCCATAAAGCTAGTTGAAAGACCCCAGGATGAGATACTTCTCCTTGGCGACTTCAACGCCAAGAACTGCTTGTGGCACCCCAGCGACACCACGGATGCCTTAGGTGAGGACCTGCATTGGCTGTGCGAGACTCGTGGCCTCACACAACACGTCTCCTTTGCCACCCACCTACGCCAACACACACCTACATCGTGCCTGGACCTGGCCATCTCTAGCCTCAGCCGCCATAACATCACCATCACAAGCCTGCCCCCTATGGGTGCCTCTGATCATGTTGTCATACAAGGCAACATACGACCCCAGCAGCACACCACCCACAGAAACAATAATACAAATAATAATAAAAATGAGAGCAGTACTACACAGCAAAGCACCTCCAGCACATACTGGTTGTGGAGCGAGGAACGCATTGCGTCCCTGCGTGAAGCTCTTGCTACCTGCAATCTGCAGTACGATCCACATCCCACTGACCCTCAGCCAGTAACCTCATTCTGGAACTTCTGGAGAGACCAGATACTGAAACTAGCCGTGCACCACTGCCAAGTGACCAGAAGCAAGTCCCGCAAAAATTCTACGCCCACTCGTCCCTGGATGACGAAGGATCTCCTCAGCCAGATCAAAACAAAGCACAAACAGTTCCGCACCTACAAGGCGACCCAACTAGACTCAGATTGGAAACTGTACACAGCCCAGCGTAACCGAGTAACCGCTCTTTTGCGACAGGCTAAGTCCGACTTTGTCCAGCAAACAACGTCAACGGGTACAAACCTCCACCGTCTACTGAAGCACCTGAAAAAACCGCCTAAGCAAACAATTCCCACACTATCGACAGCCAACTCCACTGCAGCCACGGCTATGGAGAAAGCAACAGCTCTCAACAAGTTCTTTATCTCCCAAAGCCAACATTCCATCGACAAGACCACCTGTACTACACCAGACATCAACACTACCCCTGACATCAGTCATACTCTAAATACAATCGCAGCAACAGTGGAAGAGGTCGAGAAGCTTCTATGCAGTCTAGACACTGGCAAGAGCCCAGGCTTTGACAACATCCCAACTCGGCTCCTGAAAGAAACTGCAAAGGAAATCTCCCCATCTCTCACTAGTCTCTACAATCTGTCCTTCAGAACCGGAGAAATACCACAGGATTGGAAAGACGCAACTATTACACCCATCCCCAAGTCGGGCAACCCCTCCCATCCTACCAACTACCGACCCATCTCCCTGCTCAGTATAATATCAAAAACACAAGAAAAATAGTCCACTCTCGTCTGTACAATCACATAGCACCGCACTTACCCTCCAACCAATCCGGCTTCAGGAAACAAGACGGGACCG